TGCATTTTCACGTTAAAGAATGTCAAGTTATAATTTAAATTTGACGTGTTTCGGGATTTTTTATAAATATGTACAGTTACCTAAATAATGATTTTATTCCATTTGGCTTTTACACACTGTATAGAACTAACAAATAATGATACAAAACTAATAGAACAACAAAACTATATTAGCTAAAATAAACAACGCGAATAATACAAATATGTACTACAATATGTTAAATTGTAACAATTTAAATATTATATTTTAAATATACAGGGAAAATTTGATGGGTTTAGTATCCACTTCCACTATTAAGAATAATTCTTCTTTTTTCAAAAAAAAGAAGTCTGCAATATTAGTTTACTTCAGCTATTAATACTGAGAAGTAGGAATTGTTGTATTGTAGGTTTCAGACAATGAATCTGTCAAAACATGCCCGAGCCAAGCGAATGAAGTATATAATATTATATCTTAACATGAAATGACAGCCGTTTTTTGCTCTTTTCTCGAATTTAAATATATGGGCTTAACGCGTATTATAATTTAAGATGCAAGGGACAATATTAGACATGTACACAAATTAAAAATATATTTTTACCGGCCACAAATATCTAAATCACCGCTTTCAACTTAGATAACCATTGTTTCTAAAATTAGTTGTACTTGGGACACTGTAAACACACCCACCATATAGAAGGTGTGCACGTGTCAGATATTCTAGTTGGGCCAATTATCTGAAATCCTTACTGACCTTACTTACTAATGTATGGAAAACGTAGAATAAATTTAATATTTTACTGAAGTCACTAATTAATTTAATTTTCGTCAGTAATTATGCCCCTTGATCGATGTTTGAAATAGTTGCCAAATTTACATCTAGTTTTGAGAGATGATGTTGCAAAACATTTTTGTCAACTGTATTAAAAATCTGTCTGTATGCGGGTATAATTTTTTCTGTACATTAATACAAAAAAAAGAGTATGAAGTGTAGGAACCAAAGCGTTTACAATTTGTGTATAAATATATTATCTCATATTATATTTATAATAATATGCGGTTAATAATAATATCCTCTATTGATTGTAAAGAAAATTACATTTTTTAATAACGGTTGACATGACTTTTACTCTTTTTTTTCAAAAAAGATATTTAAAAAAACTGTTTAAAAGTATAAGCAACACGTTATTAAGTTAGGCTATGTTTTTTTATTAACATAATACAACTTAAGAACAAATGTCTGTATTGCTACAAAATAAAGATGAGGTCAGAAGTGTGTTTGAAAAAGGTGATTACGCTGGTCAATAAAGAGGCCTTCCTAAAACCGAGGGACTTGCTGTGTATCAAGCTGTATTCAACTGATTTTGTAAGGCTCGAAACATTTGTCAATATCGGAGCCTATAATTTAAGCCAAAGTCCCCAAAGTTGTCCAATGCTTAGGACTAAGTGGCTTCAAGGTTTCAAATCATTATCTAGAAAGATCTCCTCATCGACACGATATTATTTTTAAGACAATGTATAGCGAATCTCCTGATGTTATTATTAAAAACGTTAAATCTTGGAAAGAAAATCTGTTTGCTATTTTAAAGTATTTTAGCCCAAACGCAGATGAGACGGGTCTCTACCATTTTTCGTTGCCCACAAAACATGCATTGCATTGAAAAATAAGTGTACTGAAAGAAAAATTCCAAGAAAACGAATAACTGCTTTGTTCTGTGAAAACATGAAATTTAAAAACTAGGAAACACATAGACAAAAGCAAAAATCTTCGATGTTTTAAGAGAGACACATCGATAAGTAACCTCTTGGATGGGTGTCCAATAAAATGGCATTATGACGACCTGGAACCACAAATTTGACACGAAGATGAAAAATCAGAATAGAAAATAGTGTTACGATAATAAATATTATGGCGTATAAAATTGTAAATATATTATGACTAATTCTTTTCTATTTCTAGTAATTTCGGCGCTCAGTTGAAAGACCTGTTTACCTGCCGGCAGAAATCTCTAGTCCCTTCGCCGAAATATCAGTCCATGAGCCGCCTTGTCGTCTAATGGGTGGAAGGTCATCGATTCATCGCTATATCCTTCTAGATAACGGCATTTTATATACATTAATGGGACATTTTATTTAGGGGAGCAGTCAGAAAAGAAGATCGTGACGGGTATTTAAATGTAACGATGGTATAAATAAATTATGTAATTATTATCATCATCAGTGGTGCTACAGCTCTAGTTGAGCCTTGACCTTCCCCAGTCTATTTCGCCAGTCGTTTCTGTTCATCGCCAACCGTTGCCAATTTGCCGCGCCGATTTTCCTTGCGTCCTCGTCCACACCGTCCCTCCATCTCAGTCGTGGTATGCCTCTACTCCTATTTCCCACTGGGACCGATAATAGAATTCGTCTGGGTGGGTAATTTTCATTTGCTTTTGACACATGTCCAGCCCATCTAAGCCTACCTATTTTTATGAAGGATATTACATCTCTACCATTTACTATTTTTTTTATACTTCTCGTACAATTCGAACTTATATCGCCTTCTCCAAATACCATTCTCACAGAATGCGCCCATTATTCTTCTTATTATCTTCCTTTCGAAGACGAGCAGAAGATTTGCGTCTGTTTTGGAGATGGTCCATGTTTCTAACCCATATGTCAGCACTGGTAGGATGAGTGTTCGATATATTATTAGTTTGGTTTTCTGGCTTAAATTTCTGTTTTTTAGCTGCTTGTTTAGTCCAAAATAACATTTGTTTGCTAGCAGTACCCTCTGTTTAACTTCTTCAGATGTGTCATTATCGTTGGTTATGAGAGAACCCAAATATGTAAACTTATTTACTACCTCAAAATTATATTGGTCTATACTGAAGTTTTGTTCAGCGTTTCTAGCTCTATCTCTGTTATTTGGAATAGATGCTAACATTTTGGTTTTTTCCTCGTTTATTCTAAGGCCCATATTTTGTGCGGCTGTCAAGAAGGTGGAAGTCATCTCTTTAAGTCCTCGTGTAGTACGTGCAATCAAATCCAGATCGTCAGCGTAAGCCATAATCTGCATTGATTTATTAAAGATTGTTCCCCTATTGTGTAACTCAGCATCTCTTATAGTCTTTTCTAACGCTATATTAAAGAGAAGGCACGCCAGCGCGTCTCCCTGCCGTAATCCTGCATATGTTTCAAACGCTTGTGACATATCGCCTTGTATTTGCACTCTGCAGATCACTTTACTCATAGTTGTTTTTACGAGCCTTATTAATTTATGGGGAATGTTAAGTTCATTCATGGCTTCGTATAATTTACCTCTTAGGACGCTATCATACGCTGACTTAAAGTCCACAAAGAGATGGAACGTGTCAATATGAAATTCATTGGTTTTTTCTAAGATTTGACGTAGCACAAAAATGTGGTCAATTGTTGACCTACCTGGATTTCTTCCACGTACGTACTTAAACGGCTGTACAGGGTGTTGGAGAATATTTTGTACATTGTATTCAGAAGAGTTATACCCCTATAATTTTTACATTCCAAAAAATCTCCCTTTTTGTGTAGTGGACATATGATTCCAGTGCACCATTCCTCTGGCATTTGATTTTCTTCCCAGACTTTGACTGTTATGTTGTGAATTTGGTGCATAATGCTGTTACCTCCATGTTTGATGAGCTCTGCGGGGATACAATCCACTCCTGGGGACTTGCTATTTTTGAGTCGTGTGATTGCGTCTTTCACTTCAAATGTAATTATTAGTCAAGAATAAATTGTTGTCAGTGGTTTAATAAATTGATATTAATTATCGTGTTTTAGTAAATGAAAATAAAAACAATAAATTAGAATTAATAAAGACATAGCATTAGTGTGCAGAAGTGAGATATTTTAAATAAAATAAGGAAAATGACCACGATTTACGAGCTCACAGTTACGAATTTGAGAAGACATCTCGAGAATAGAGAATTATCTTCTACCGGAAAAAAGGCTGAGTCCAACGACTAAAGAATGCTTTAGAAGAAGAGGGTTTAGACCCGGAAACTTATACATTTGAAAATGCTGTCATCTTGTTAAATACGAAATTAGAGAACAAAGTTTCTGGTGACACTGCATCATTGGGGAACAAAGTTTCTGACGATATTTCGAGAGTTTCCGGCGACATCGCTTCTTTAGAAGACAAAGTTTCTAACGATATTTCTTCTCTAGAAAGCAAAATTTCTGCTAACATCTCCTTGGTAGGTAGAGGTCTAGGAAGAAAACAGATTATTTGGTTAAAAAAAATTGCGAATGGACTCAGATATAAAATGCTGGACAGCTGTTCCATGTGGTGATCGCCAACGTCTGATAATTCTGAGATGGCAAGTGAAGAAAAGGAAAGAAAATTCGGTTATTGGATAAAAAAATACTTAAGAATTTTTATTAAAAAATATTTTAACCTAAATTTAATTTTTGCCTACATGGTATTTGTGTTTCTACTACAATTTTGTTCGTTGTGGCATCTTAATACAATTCTAACGGCTATACTTAAGTTAAAGTTGATCTCATGTAATCGAATAAACTATCTTCTAATAAACTAGTCCCAGAAACGCAAATCAAAAATATTCGCAATAATATTTTGTAATATTTTAAAGTAAAATTGTGGCTTATTCCTAGTAAAAATAGTAAATTATATTAAAAGGTTATTCTGAACAAGTGAATTGGACAAAGCTTAATTGGTTTGTTACTACTATTTATTTAAGTACTCCTCTCATGTTTACGATAACGTTTCAATTAAATACTCAAAAAAAGTACAGTCCAGTGCACGTCTAAACAATTATAGACTAGTTGTATAACAGTGTATTCTAGTTTTCACCAATAAATCGTGCTAGTTCATTTATATTGCATTTTTTATTCTTTAATATTATATATTATAAAGTAATTATTAATTAATTAATAAAAAATTCCGCATGTCTTTATTTCAAGTACTGATATCCAACTATATCACTGGCCTAATTCAGTAAAGTTCAATTATCTGATCGTAATAATAATAGAACGCAATGTGGGGATCCGAACACATCTTCTAATGCGCTAATTACTTTATTAATGTATCACTAACGCAGACCGTTCCGTATAAATTGTCAACTTCCTAATTCAACATTTAATATTTTGCCTTGGCTGTAATTATGAACATTTATTTTAGTCAAAGGGATCAAGCGTCAGTATTCGTGCGGTAACATTATTGAAAATCACTTTGTTATTCGAGTACGGTTTTTTCGGAGTCCAATTCAGCCAATTTAAATTTGTAATGAGAAGTCAGTCTTAGGGAGTAAACAAACGAAATAGGATCGTTCTGAAAGACAATATGAGTACGAAAGAGATTGTCTTGCCGCTTGTGATTGTGCAAATAGTTCTCTTGATTTTATTTTGTGTATTCGGAAGATATGCGCCACCAGGAGGGGATGAGAAATATCCATGTAAGTTTATTATTTATTATAAAAATTGTAATATTACTGCGTTTAATAATAATATCATCCTAAAGTACCCAAAAATTGCCTGGAATTTGTATTATTATTTGATTTAGAAAAATCCAAATAAAACTTTTTCGAAAACACACATAAACAGTAAAATATCAATAAACATAATGTTTATTGATATTGATATTATTGATAATATATATATATATATATATATATATATATATATATATATATATATATATATATATATATATATATATATATATATATATATATATATATAATGACTGGCTATACACCCCAGCGTGAGGTAAACCGCGATAGATATCTCTCCACTTTTTTCTATCTCTAGTTTTTCCTCTTCACTCTCTGGCTTCTGCAATTTGAAGGTCTTCAACTTTTTGCAGAGACTTTGTTCTTGGTCTCTTCCTTCTCTTTCTTCCTCCTAGATTCCATTCTATCATTGCGTATGTCACTGCTTCATCTCCTGCTCGCCAAATGTGACCTAACCATCTAACTCTGCATTGCATTTTAGTCACGATGACTTCCTTAAATATTTCCTTAATATTTGCTTTGTTTTGCTTCTATATTCATTTTGCTCTATTCTGATTGGTCCCAGTATGGTTTTTATAATATTTCTCTCCGCTATTTTTAAGTCTTGTTTATTTTGTTTTTGACCATCGTCATTGTTTCTTCTGCATATAATAATATTGGCCTATTTATGGTGTTATAAATATATTTATCTTAGTTTTCTTAGTCAGTGTTTTGCGTTTAAGTAATCTTGTATTTGCAAAATAAGCTTTGTTCACTGCTAATATTTTTTCGTTTATTTTGGGTTTTCTTTTTCCGGTTTTGCTTACTGTGGCTCCAAGGTATTTGATGTACTCTATTTCTTCAAACTCAGTACTTCCTATTTTGATTTTTTCTTTCATTGGCTTTTTCCCCAATCTCAATATATTTGTCTTTTCTTGGTTTAATTTTAGTCACATTACCTTCCCTTTCTCTTTTATTTCTTCTAGCATTTTGTTCATTATTTCCTGTTCTTTGCAATAAAAGCAATACGGTCTGCATTTTCGAATATTTGACCGCCTCTTGTTCTAAGATTTCCCTTATTTATATTTTATAGTAAATATTCTAAGGTTAGATTAAATATTTATACTTTATTTATACTGAGTTCTTCTGTCTCTCCTCCTTGTGTCTTTATGCTAATTTTTGTAGTTCTTATTATTTCGATTAGTTTTCTGAGTTTATGTGGATTTTTAATTTTTTAATTGCTATCATTGATCCTCTTCTTTTAATTTAATTAAATGTATGTTTAAAGTCTTTGAATAACATTTTCAATTCTAATTTATACTCGTTTGCTTTTTTCATTATTTGTTTTATTGTGTATATTGCATCCATTCTAGATCTTCCTTATGTGAATCCACACTGCTACTGTCCTTCTGTCTTCTTTATGATATTCGATAATCTGCTTTTTATTATTGATGTCAATATGTTGTATGTTGTATTTACTAACATTAATCCTCTATAATTTTCACAAATTTGTTGGTCTCCTTTTTTATGTATTGTTATGATCTGCCTCACCTCCCAGTCCCCTGGCGTTTTCTCTGCTTTCCATATATTTTTCAATAATGCCAGTATTTTTCCTCTCAGCTCCCTTCCACCGTATTTTATAAGTTTCACATTAATTCCATCTTAACAAGGAGCTTTTCCATTTTTTCTTCTCTGTATTATATTCTCTAATATTTCCTATGTTGGTTCTTTTGAAATTTCGATGTCTACTTCATCTACTTCTTCTGCTTCTGCTTCGTGCTCCATTTCTTTCTCGTTATTCATTTCTTTCCCTGTTGTTTTTTCTGTCAAGAACTCTATGTAGTAATCCCTCCAAACTTGCTTGTATTATTGCTCCTCTATTATCACTGTTTTCTCTTTATTTTTTATTCCGTCTTTTTGTATTTTTTGTTTCGATTTTTAGTTTCTTTGTAAAATTTTTTGTATTTCTGTCTGTTTCTTTCTGCTCTATTTCCTGTATTATTTTGTCTATCAATCTTCTTAAATTTTACCTTATCACTTACTTTCAGTATTTTTTCTTAATTTTTTGATATTCTTATCTGTCTTCCTCTTTATCTGTTATTAGCCATTTAATTCTGGCTTGCACTGTTTTTCCTGTTATTTCTCTACAGTCTTGGTTATACCATCTGTTTTTTGTTTTAGGCTGACTTTTACCTACCTGAATATTTGTACCTTTTTCTATTTATTTTTTATCGTCTCCCATTCTGTGTTTATATATTTTGCTGTATATTTCTCTTTTATATAAACTGCCTCTTCATATTTTTTTCTTACTTCTTTATTACTCATTTTATTGGCATTCCACTTTATGTTGGTTTTTCTGTTTTGTTTCAATTTCAACTTTTTGTCTTATAGTGGCTGTGACCATGTAGTGGTGGAATCTGCACACGCTCCTCTAAATGTCCTTATATAATTCTGAACAAGTTCTAATTGGCTGAGGCCACATCACATTTATAAAAACCTTGTATAGAGTATTTTTTGTTTTTGCTTCTATTTGACATACTGTGTAAGAATATGTTGAATAGTTAATGATTCATTACTTTTCACAAACAGATGATTTCTCCAAAGCCATCAGGTGTCCATGCGTTAGCCATGCGTTAGCCTACCAATTCTTAGCCTGCAAACGATTTATTTGTCTCGTCTCTTAAGTAAGGTAGCTGAAAGATTTCGATGGTAGGTTGTATTTTATGTAATTTCGAGGTTGAATTCTGCCACTGGCAGATTCAGACAGATTTAATGTCTGATTTGGTTGTAAATGCTTCTTTTGCGGCAGTAATAGCAGTCTCATTATCTAAAATGCCAACGTGTGAAGGAATCCAGATGAAAGTTGTTTGTTCCAGAAGAAGTGAGACAGTTTCTTGTTTTATGTATGGCATGAACTAATATAAGTTAGGAATATATATTTTTTAATCGAGTTGATAAAGAACATCGAATCTATACATATTGCAGTAGTATTGGCTTTAGTTTGGTTACATAAGCCTTTTAATGCTTGTAGGATGGCGTACAGCTCTCCTGTGTGGATAGAGGTGTATTGTGATTTAGAACTTCTGAATGATACTATTTTTATATCTTACACTTGTCCTACACCTGTCTCAGTGTGAGATGCATATGTGAAGAAAATCTCGTCATATAAGTTTGTTTTGACCAGCTCTAGGAGACATTGCCTTAAAATTTAGCTGTTGGTTTAATTTTTGTGGTAATTATTAAGCGAAAGGATATTTTTTGGCATTTTATTAATCACAGGAGCAAATTATATATATTTGAACAGTATATGACAGTATATGAGTATTTAAAAAATCAATGGATCCTGAATAGGCTCACAATGATTCGTTTTTTCTATGATATAAATGTACAGTTAGAGTTAGGAATCACGATCTCAGTAATTTTAAACATTTTTAAAATCCTCTGAATTGTTGTATAACTTATAATTGGTATATTAGAATATCTTACGCTAAATACTCTGATCGTACTCGCAGTATTCCCTGTAAAAAACAATATTGCTGGTTTTTCCCCAACTAAACCCTTTTAATTAACTTTTTTAAATAATAAATCATAAAGTAAAAAATTAATAATTTAAATATTATTAATACCTGATTGTATATTCTGACAAATGTATTAAATTTTACAAATTTTTGGAATTTGTTTAATCAACTTTTGTATTCAATACAGATTTCAGTCCACTACAAATAATACCTCTTGACTTTTGATGTAAAATAATTAGCGAAGCAGGAATGATAATATAGATATATATTGTAAATTATATTTATAACAACTGCCAGCGGCAAATTTCTCATTGAAATAGAATATTTATTGTTATTTTTAAAATAAAACGTAGTTTATAAAACTATTTAATGAGAAGTGGGTATAATTCTGAATTCAAAACAGGTTTTATTTGTAAACTCAAGTAACGTTATATAATTTTTTTTATTAAAATTGAAATGTTTGATAAAACCACATATTGGCAATGAGGTCTTGAAATAGTTGAATGTATAATAATATAAAAACAGATTATTTTTATTGTTGGTTTTTCTTAGTTTTTAAATAAATATGTTTAAAGCAGCGGTGTTAATTTTTAATTAATAGTCTTCTTTAGAATTGTGGACCTAAAGAGAATTGACCTCAAATTCCCCGATACATGGCGTGAATCCATTATTATTTAAATTAAGAAGAATGAGCATCTACCTTTATTAAAATGTTTCTGAAACAATATAAAATAAGTTTAAACTAGTTATTTTGGTGTTAGAAGTAATCGGTTTACTCGGGATAACCTCACTCTTTGTCAAAATCGCATTTCAACAGAGCACAACAACCAACAAGATTTAGTTGTGAGTGGTAAAGTTGTTTGATGGTCTGCAAGTTCGGCACACTTTATTCTAGTTACAATAGCTGCAATATGCTAATAACTTAATTATAGACTGCCATAAGCAATCCATTACTTATTCCTGCTTCTCCTAAAATATACAGCCATACTAATTTTAAGCAAAATAAAAAATATATTGCAAAACAAATTTAAAGATATAAAATTTAGCAAAGAAATTTCTTTAAGGTAACTTAATTAACTTTAAGTTAACTTAGTTTGCACGATAAGTTATTGCACAATTTATTATTGAATACAACAAAAATATCTTTTTAAAAAAGTGTTCTGAATAATATAGTATTCTCAAGAATAGAAAAAAAAGCAAGGAATATTATAATTGTATCTACGTCAATATGCGTCAAATAAGTGATTTTTATGCCTTCAGAATACATCAACATTTACTAAATTTTTGACCGTGATCACCTCAAATCTATGCATAAAATTTATCATAAATTTAAACTACATATAAAACAAATTGTTCGTAATTTATACGTATACAGGTTTACGCAATTGAACTGTTATCTATTCAAACGACCATAATTTTTTTGTGTGAAATTATTTTTTATTGATT